TTTTGTAGACTGGATACTAGTTCAAGTCCATCTGGTGGGGTCTCCTTGGCCTCCTTGATCAAGAGGACAGGTGACCCACCACGATGACAGGACATTTTGAGAGATGCTCATAGTCCCCTGGAACTAGTTGACCTAGGAGGGCAAGGAGCAAAAACTGTCCTTCATCTCCCTCTGAGCAAATTACTATAGGCCCCAAAGTATGTCTGTTAAACATCCAAGAAGATTAGTTCCACCAGTCTGGTACTTTGAATTACTGTGTTCCATGTAGATAAATCTTGGGCAAAGACCAGTTGTTCTCAGATAAAACTTACCTACACATATGTTTCTTGATGTGCTATGTACAATTTGTCAGTAGGTTATAGGAGTAATATGGTTCCCTCTGCTTTTTAAAACTAGCTAGGCGTTGTTTATCTCTCACATTGTCTCATCCCTCCATCATGGTTTTCCCACTTAAGGTGCCTCCATTTTCTCCCTTTCTCCCTTAATAATACCCTTCTCCTATGGTCCTACCTCTCTTGATCTTTTTCTTTCCCTTTATCCCCTAGGTTCCTCATATACCCTTCCTTCCCTTCTCCCTTAAAGTAACGCAATTTTTATCCATATCTCTCTTAATAAGGCCTGTTTCCTACTGCTCTTCTCTTTCAGGTTCTTTCTTTTCCTTTACCTCCCTGATTCCTTTTCATTATCCTGGTTCCTATAGTTATGTCTGGATACATACTCAATTATCAGGATTTGGTCCTAAGATCCACATGTGAGGGAGAATATATGTCTTTTTTTTTCTGAGTCTGTGTTATTTCACTTAGTGTAACAGTTTCTAGTTTGATCCATTTACCTGCAAATTTCATGATTTCATCTTTCTTTACTGCTGAGTAAAACTCCATCATATAAATGAACCACAATTTCATTATTCACTCATCAGCTGAGGGACACTTAGGTTGCTTACATCTCTTAGCTATTGTGAAAAGAACAGCAACAAACATGGATGTACAAGTGTATCTGCAATAGGATGAGTTCTTTGGGTATATGCCAAGGAGTCGTATAACTAGGTCAAATGTAGGTTCATTTGTAGATTTCTAAGAGTTCTCCACACTGCTTTTCATAGTGGTTGAATCAGTTTGCAGCCCCACCAGCAGTGGATGAGTGTTCCTCTTTCCCCACATCCTCTCCAACATTTGGTATCATTTGATCTCTCGATATTAGCCAGTCTGACTAGGATAAGATGGAATCTTAAAGTGGTTTTAATTTTTATTTCCCTAATTATTAGTGATGTTGAACATCTTTTAAGGTGTTTCATAGCCATCTTTACTTCTTCTTTTGAGAACTCTCTGTTCTGTTCCTTAGCCCACCTTTTAATTAATTGGGTTGCTTCTTGTCTTGGTTCTGTTTTTTGAGTTTGTTATATATTCTGGTTATTAAACCTCTGTCTGATGTGTTGCTGGTGAAGATTTTCTCCTATTCTGTGGGTTTTCTGTTTGGTTCCTTGGTTGCCTCCTTTGATGTACAGAAGCTTTTTAGTTTAATGAGATCCCATTTGTTAATTCTTGCCCTGCCCTTGTTTCCTGAGCAATTGATGTCCGGTTTAGAAAATCCTTTCCTACACCTATATCTTGTATTTTTTTTCCAATGTTTTCTTCTAATAGTTTCTTATAATGTACTGATGAAGAAGAATGGAAACTGAATGTCTGTTGAATAACCCTGAATGGTCAACTCTAAATGAATCTGCTTTGCATATTTCTCCTCTAAAGATTCCCTACCTCACACAGGTGCTGCTGTTGAATCCCCAGAGAGCCCACAGACAGTCTGGAGTAGATTACGCTTAACCAAGCAACATCAGCTCCCCGTTTCCCTGCTGTGATTTCTGTTGGTCATCATACGAGATAAGACTAAGAATGGGATGAATGATTCCCTGAGTTTCCTTCTCATGGAAGTTTTCAGAGCATTATCAGAGTAATTCATTCTGGTAACTATGTGCCTAAGAGAATCTGATTCCAGAGAAAACTGATTCTATACCTAAAATCTTAAAATTCTTATCTCTACAGAGTCATATATGCTAAATAGATTGGATATTTAATTTACTTTTTCACTGTTATAAATATGCAGATCTGTAAAGGGGAAATGACTTAATCTAGTTTATAGTTACCCTGGTCATCTATATTTTGGAGAGAATCACTCTCATTTGTAAAATTAATCCCAATGATGAACTGAGTGTTCTTGTTAAGAACATACCACATCACTTTAATAAGTCACAGTTAGGGGTCTATCTCTATTGGATTACAGAATCATGAAGTGAAATTGTTCTGCTAAATCCTAACCACCATTTATTCTACAGGACAGAGTCCAGAAAAACACAGCCATTCTCCAAACATTTTGATACCATTTTGCAAAACCAGCATAATTCCTTATTGGAAAAAGGACAGAGTGAACTACTGTATAGCTTCCCACTAGTCAGGTTTTGTCTATGCCTTATGTCATCTGAACCTATAGCTACTTTAGGTGTTTCAACACTAGGTGTTGATCAAAGTCCAGTTTCCATGTATTCAGCTATAGACTCAAGCCAGGTAGAACAGGAGCTTGGTAGGAAGAATATGAGTTATTTCTGCTAATTTTAGGCAAGGACTGATTCTCAACTATTTAAGTAGCCCCTGATCAACTTATCAAGATGGATTTGTTGTGACTGGAGACATCACTCAGCTTGATACTTGCTGCTCCTCCAGAGGACCCAAGTTCAGTTCCCAGCATTCATTCCTGTGGCTGACAAACACCTGTTACTCCAGCTCCAGGGAATCTGATAATCTTCTCAGGTATCTGGTTAGCAACAGCATACATGCAGTACACACACACACTCTCTCTCTCTCTCACACACACACACACACACACACTCACACAAGGGGGAATAAGAATTTTAAAAATATTTTATAGGTTTGTACATGGTATTTTTAAGCTGAACTGTTGTTGCCATCCAAATTTGGAGATAATGTTAGTAGAAATCTCTCAAGCAAATCATGCAATAAATCCCAGCACAGTTCATTGCCAGTCATTCCAGGACAGTTTTCTTTTTCCTCATTATCAGCAAAATGGACAAAACTGATGCTTATTACTCCTT